GTCTGTCTGTCTGATGAGTTTCTGTCTGTCTGTTGAGCGTCTATCTGTCTGTCTGATGAGTTTCTGTCTGTCTGTTGAGCGTCTATCTGTCTGTCTGATGAGTTTCTGTCTGTCTGATGAGCGCCTGTCTGTCTGTCTGATGAGTGTTTGTCTGTTGAGCGTCTCTGTCTGTCTGATGAGTGTCTCTCTGTCTGTCTGTCTGTTGAGCGTCTCTCTGTTGAGCGTCTCTCTGTTGAGCGTCTCTCTGTCGTGCGTCTCTCTGTTGAGCGTGTCTCTCTGTCTGTCTGTCTGTTGAGCGTCTCTCTGTTGAGCGTCTCTGTCTGTCTGTCTGTCTGATGAGCGTCTGTCTGTCTGATGAGCTTCTGTCTGTCTGTTGAGCGTCTATCTGTCTGTCTGATGAGTTTCTGTCTGTCTGATGAGCGCCTGTCTGTCTGTCTGATGAGTGTTTGTCTGTTGAGCGTCTCTGTCTGTCTGATGAGTGTCTCTCTGTTGAGTGTCTCTCTGTCTGTCTGTCTGTTGAGCGTCTCTCTGATGAGCGTCTCTGTTGAGCGTCTCTCTGTCGAGCGTCTCTCTGTTGAGCGTGTCTCTCTGTCTGTCTGTCTGTTGAGCGTCTCTCTGTTGAGCGTCTCTCTGTTGAGCGTCTCTCTGTCGAGCGTCTCTCTGTTGAGCGTGTCTGTCTGTCTGTTGAGCGTCTCTGTCTGTCTGATGAGCATCTCTCTGTCTGTCTGATGAGCATCTCTGTTGAGCGTCTCTGTCTGTCTGATGAGCGTCTCTCTGTCTGTCTGTCTGTCTGTTGAGCGTCTCTCTGATGAGCGTCTCTGTTGAGCGTCTCTCTGTTGAGCGTGTCTCTCTGTCTGTCTGTCTGTCTGTCTGTTGAGCGTCTCTCTGTTGAGCGTCTCTGTCTGTCTGATGAGCATCTTGAGCATCTCTGTCTGTCTGATGAGCGTCTCTCTGTCTGTCTGTCTGTCGAGCGTCTCTCTGTTGAGCGTGTCTCTGTCTGTCTGATGAGCGTCTCTGTCTGTCTGTTGAGCGTCTCTCTGTCTCTCTGATGAGCGTCTCTCTGTCTGTCTGTCTGTCGAGCGTCTCTCTGTTGAGCGTGTCTCTGTCTGTCTGATGAGCGTCTCTGTCTGTCTGTCTGTCTGTTGAGCGTCTCTCTGATGAGCGTCTCTCTGTTGAGCGTCTCTCTGTCTGTCTGATGAGCGTCTCTCTGTCTGTCTGTCTGTCTGTTGAGCGTCTCTCTGATGAGCGTCTCTGTTGAGCGTCTCTCTGTCGAGCGTCTCTCTGTTGAGCGTGTCTCTCTGTCTGTCTGTCTGTTGAGCGTCTCTCTGTTGAGCGTCTCTGTCTGTCTGATGAGCGTCTCTCTGTCTGTCTGTCTGTCTGTTGAGCGTCTCTCTGATGAGCGTCTCTGTTGAGCGTCTCTCTGTTGAGCGTGTCTCTCTGTCTGTCTGTCTGTCTGTCTGTTGAGCGTCTCTCTGATGAGCGTCTCTGTTGAGCGTCTCTCTGTTGAGCGTGTCTCTCTGTCTGTCTGTCTGTCTGTCTGTTGAGCGTCTCTCTGTTGAGCGTCTCTGTCTGTCTGATGAGCATCTTGAGCATCTCTGTCTGTCTGATGAGCGTCTCTCTGTCTGTCTGTCTGTCGAGCGTCTCTCTGTTGAGCGTGTCTCTGTCTGTCTGATGAGCGTCTCTCTGTCTGTCTGTCTGTCGAGCGTCTCTCTGTTGAGCGTGTCTCTGTCTGTCTGATGAGCGTCTCTGTCTGTCTGTTGAGCTGTTGAGCGTCTCTCTGATGAGCGTCTCTCTGTTGAGCGTCTCTCTGTCTGTCTGATGAGCGTCTCTCTGTCTGTCTGTCTGTCTGTCTGTTGAGCATTTCTCTGTCTGTCTGATGAGCATCTCTCTGTTGAGCGTCTGTCTGTCTGTTGAGTTTGTCTGTCTGATGAGTTTCTGTCTGTCTGCAGGGTCTGCGGAACAAACCAAAGAAGACCGGTCACGTGAAGCCGGACCTGATTGATGTGGATCTGGTCAGAGGTCAGAGACACGTACCTGTATTTGATGTTTTTGGTGTCTGTTCACGTCACGTTCAGGTCTGTTTCACAGGTCAGTCGCGGCTCGTAACTCGTCTTCTGTTTTATTCGTCAGGTTCTGCGTTTGCTAAAGCGAAGCCCGAGAGCCCGTGGACCTCTCTGACCCGGAAGGGCATCGTCAGAGTGGTTTTCTTCCCCTTTTTCTTCCGCTGGTGGATTCAGGTGACGTCGAGAGCTGTCTTCTACCTGCTGCTCTCTCTCTACCTGCTGCAGGGTGAGCGTTTATTCACACACAATCGCTTGTATTTCAGCAGACAAAAGTCAGTTTGACTGAATGACGTGTATGATTGCTTTTAGGTTGTTCATTGAGGTCACTAGTTGTTTTTCTTGTCAGAGACGTGTGCAAATAATTCAGATGCTTTTGTTTTTACAGGTTACTAAAAAGAACAGGGAGTATGTGTAATAATGGTGTAACAAATCTCTCCTTAAAATAATCCATGTTTGTCATGGCTGAAAGTGAAGCTTTAATTTGAAGTTTAATTTAACTTACAGAGTTTGACTGAACACGCAGTCTTTGGCTTCTTCAATCATTTTCTCCTGCCTTTTAACAGCTGAGTTTATTTTACTGTCCTAACGATGGACTTTCTATGATTAGCTGCACTGGATTATGTTTTTTCCTGTCACTCACGAGTGGAGAAGTGCTCCTCATGTCATCGGTGTGTGTTTTGTGTTGCAGTGCTGGCGGCCGTGTTGTTTTTCAGCATCTCCAGTCCTCACAGCGTCCCCGTCACCGAGGTGTTTGGAGCCATCTGGCTGATGCTGCTGTTAGGAACCGTTCACTGCCAGATCGTCTCCACACACACTCCTAAAGCCGGCGGCGGCGGCAGCGGGAAACGCCGCAGGTCAGACTCTCTCTTCTGTGTGACTGGTTTCTTCTGAAGTTCAGCCGTCTCACTGACAGCGACACACTACAGATGAAATCGGGGGAAGCGTCAGCACGTCGAGATGATTCTGCTGAATTCATGAAAAGCTTTCTCTTGATTTATGGATCCAAATCAAATTCACACTTGTGACAGACACTAATGTCTTCATTATTAGGCGATTGTCAGCATCATAAAAAGAAATGCCATTACAAGCACAAATGATCAGTCATATTCCAGAAGCATGAATAGAAATGCATTTTCTAAAGGATCTCAAATCCAAAGGATTTTGATTAACAAGCTCCAATGTAAATGAATCATTTTAGAGTTTGGTTGAATCATCTCCGATGAGTGCGTCTCTTTCAGGCCTTTCGCTTCTCTTGACTTTGGGAATCAAAGTTCGCTCTGTTTTAAGATTTCTAAGTTTTCTGCACTTTGCTGTCTCTCGCTAAAGGAAGTTGAGGAAAGCGGCTCATTTGGACATTCATAGAGAAGGCGACGGCTCTAGCACTACTGATAACACACAGGAGGGGGCGCCGCAGGGCTCGCTGTCTGCCGGCTCACGCAGTCTCGTGGCTTTCTTCAAAGATTTCTGGCATGGTATCTTTAAAGAGGGGTGTGTATTTCTCTCTCTCATATCTCCTTTTACAATCTTCTTGGCTACAACATCTCTTTTCCTGAAATCACATCATCGCGCTGCAGTGCAGTTTTAAGTCTCTCTTTGAGGTTCCTCACTAGATAAAGGGATTTTGTAGCCATTTTATTCCATTTGCTCCGTTTCAATTGTTTTTTCCCCAGAAGCACAGTTGTGACTGTCTCCAGAAACCGGTTCACTTTCTACTGATTCACAAGCTCCCATCAGCGTTTGCTGTAGAGGACTAGAGCTGCGCTTCCACACATCGCTTGATCAAACACACAGCCTTTAGTAGAACCTGCTCTTTTCCTTGCTGTCCCATCAGGTCTAAAAAGTCCAAGCTGTCCATCGATAAGTCTACAGAGACGGACAATGGATACGTGTCTCTGGACGGACGCAACACCAGCAAAAGCAGCGAGGAGGGTTTACAGCTGCATGATCCTCACTGCGACCTGCTGCGCTCCGAGACGCACTGGAGCCTCCAGCACAACAGACACCAGCTGATCCTGCCGCCCACGGGCAAGGTACACACACACTCACTCACGCACACACTCACACACACACACACACACTCACGCACACACACAGACTCACTCTCTCACACACACACACTCACACACATGCACTCACTCACACACAGACGCACACACACTCGCACGCACACACGCGCACACACAGACGGACACACACACACTCTCTCTCTCTCTCACACACATGCACACTCACACACTCTCTCTCTCTCTCTCTCTCTCACACACTCTCTCTCTCTCACACACACTCTCTCACACACACACACACACACACACTCCCACCCACCCACACACTCACACGCACAAACTCTCTCTCTCTCTCTCACGCACTCTCACGCACTCTCACACAGACACACACTCGCAGTGGATACTCTCCAAAATGGTGCTACGGTGACGCGGAGGAGATGAATCGTTGAATAAAATCTTACTTTTTGTACGCAAAGAAAATTAAAATAATTTTCGTCGCTTCATGAAATTCAGATTGAACCATTGATGGCAGATGGACTACTTTGATGATGTCTTTCATACTTTTCTGGGCCTTGACAGTGTTATTTACTTGGCAGTCAATGGGACAGTCACAAGCCTCCCGGTTTTCATCCAAAATATCTTAAATTGTGTTCCGAAGACAAACAAGCTTTTACGGGTTTGGAACGACATGGGGGTAAGTGATTAATGACAAAATTTTCATTTTGGGGTGGAGTAACCCTTTAATAACCTTTTCTAAATCTTTCATTGACAAAACTGGTTTTAATCGAGCAAGAGACCTAATCTGGGAAATACAACTCTTAACCACAGCATTAACCTGCTTGTCGAATTTCAAATCTGGATCGAACACAACTCCTAAATTCCTTATTTGGTCATGACAGTAGGCCGACCAAGGATAAATAAGTGGCTATGTCTGGGCATCCTCTAGTGGGGCCAAAAATCATAATATCTGTTTTACTTTGGTTTAACTGAACCAAATTGTGAGCCATCCAGCTCTTCACCTCTTCCAGACATGCCAAAAGTAAATTTGAACCACAATTCTCTCCATGTTTCAAAGGGAGATAAAGTTGTGTATCATCGGCATACAAATGGTAAGACATACCATATTTATTAAAAATCGAGCCTAGAGGCAGCATGTACAAGGAAAACAGTACAGGGCCAATAACAGAACCCTGAGGAACCCCACAGGTAATAGAGGCTGTAGATGAAACAAAGTCACCATACTTCACCGAGAATACTCTGTTCGCAAGAGAAGACTTGAATCACTTTAAAACCGTCCCACGGATCCCAACTAAAAGTGATAAATGCTTTAGGAGGATCCCATGATCTATTGTATGAAAGGCAGCACTCAAGTCCAATAGAATCAGAGCTGCAGAACACACACTCACACACGGACACGTGTAGGCGTGACTGACGTGTGTTTTGTGCGTGTCAGTGTCTGTCTGAGGCTGCGGTTCCTCGCGCGGTGGAGAACATGTCGGGTGAAGCGTCCAGTGAAGAAGACCCAGAGAACTACAGCGCCCTCCGCAGAGGAGTGGAGCGCAAGAACAGCGACTGCACGCTGCGCAACAGAAAAGCACACCACTACAAGAAGCACTACACTGCTGAGGTAGAACACACGCGCACACACACACACAATCAGTGCTTCTGTAGGAGCACAAACACAGGCTGCTTCATGTGTGGTTTGGTCTCAGCAGGAGACGCTGAAGTCGGGCACCAGCTGCAGCTCGCGGTGCTCCAGCTCGCGGACGCAGGACTCTGAGAGCGCGCGGCACGAGTCTGAGACGGAGGATGTTCTGTGGGAGGACTTCCTGCACTGCGCCGAGTGCCGCTCCTCCTGCAGCAGCGAAACAGACGCCGACGGATCCGCAGCCTGTTCTGCCTCTAAGAAAGAGTTCAGAGATGACCCGTTTCATCAGGTGCGTCGCAGATCCACAGCTGCTGCCTCATTGGTTCAGAATTGTGGCGCTAGGGCCAGTTGTTCAATAGTGATCTGATCGGATTTTGTCCATTGGATTGTACAAAATCTTGAAAATGGGTTGTTTAAGAGGGCAAAAATATTCTGATTCAGATTAATCACAAAATCCAATCTTGGTTTTGATCTGGATTAAATACTCAGTTTGTGTTCAAAGCGTTTTAGTAAGATTGGGATACTTTTGATCCAAAAAAAAAAAAAAAAGGGGTTATTCTGATCCCAGCAGAAGAGTGGATTTCAGGAACAAAAATGTAATAAAACTGATCCAAAAAGTACAACATTTGTAAAGTGTAATATCCCTTAAATCCCCAAATAGCTGTCAATATCAAACAAAAATATTCCATTAAAAGTTTTTTTTTATCACTGATTGTAAACTACATTGGCACAATCATCAGAGATGGACCAGTCAGAAGTAGTTAGTGTTTTTTTTTTCACATCTCTTTTTTTTTCCATCAGCTTGTCCCTTTAGGGGCTCCGTAGAGCACTAGTAATCCAGATTTGGAAATCTGAAATAGTGTGTATCTGGATCAGGGTGATCCAATCCAATTTTGCTTTGAAAAACCGGCATTAAAGTAAAATGGGTTACCTGATCCTGGATAGCAAAACATGAGATTTCCAAATCCAGATCACTCTGATCCAGATTAAACTTTTTGAACAACTGGCCCCTGGTGTTTTGTTGCAGTAAGCATGTAAATGATGTGTGTGTGTGTGTGTGTGTGTGTGTGTGTGTTGCGCTGCTGCTGGTGAAGGGTCACGTGCCGTGGCTCCACAGCTCTAATCCGGGCCTGGAGCGCGTCAGCGCCATCGTGTGGGAAGGAAACGAATGCAAAAAAGCAGACATGTCTGTGCTGGAAATCAGCGGCATGATAATGAACAGGGTGAGTGTGAAGCAGAGGAAGGAAGGCAGTGAACTGATAGAAATGCATTGAACGTCTCTGGATAGAAGCGTGTGCTAAATCATGATTACATGAAGCCCTGATCTCGTCTTCCTCTCGCCCGCAGGTCAATCTGTACACTCCAGGCATCGGCTATCAGATCTTGGGGAATCTGGTGTCTGTGACGCTGGGTTTGACTCCATTTGCGTACAGATTGTACCAGCTCACCGGCCGATAGAGACGCCAGCTGCTCCGGCTCTTTGTGCTGGAACAATCTGTACGCAAATGGAGTCAAACCCAGCGTCACAGACACCAGATTCCCCAAGATCTGATAGCCGATGCCTGGAGTGTACAGATTGACCTGCGGGCGAGAGGAGGACGAGATCAGGGCTTCATGTAATCATGATTTAGCACAAGCTTCTATCCAGAGACGTTCAATGCATTTCTATCAGTTCACTGCCTTCCTTCCTCTGCTTCGCACTCACCCTGTTCATTATCATGCCGCTGATTTCCAGCACAGACATGTCTGCTTTTTTGCATTCGTTTCCTTCCCACACGATGGCGCTGACGCGCTCCAGGCCCGGATTAGAGCTGTGGAGCCACGGCACGTGACCCTTCACCAGCAGCAGAGCGACACACACACACACACACAAACATCATTTACACGAGCACAACAAATCTGAACCAGTGAGGCAGCAGCAGTGGATCTACGACGCACCTGATGAAACGGGTCGTCTCTGAACTCTTTCTTAGAGGCAGAACAGGCTGCGGATCCGTCGGCGTCTGTTTCGCTGCTGCAGGAGGAGCGGCACTCGGCGCAGTGCAGGAAGTCCTCCCACAGAACATCCTCCGTCTCGGACTCGTGCCGCGCGCTCTCAGAGTCCTGCGTCCGCGAGCTGCAGCTGGTGCCCGACTTCAGCGTCTCCTGAGACCAAACGAGAAGTGAAGGAGGCTGTGTTTGTGCTCCTACAGAAGCACTGATCGTGTGTGTGTGCGTGCGTGAGTGTGTGTGTGTGCGTGTTTTACCTCAGCAGTGTAATGCTTCTTGTAGGGGTGAGCTTTTCTGTTGCGCAGCGTACAGTCGCTGTTCTTGTGCTCCACTCCTCTGCGGAGGGCGCTGTAGTTCTCTGGGTCTTCTTCACTGGACGCTTCACCCGACATGTTCTCCACCGCGCGAGGAACCGCAGCCTCAGACAGACACTGACACGCACAAAACACACGTCAGTCACGCCTACACGTGTCCGTGTGTGAGTGTGTGTTCTGCAGCTCTGATTCTATTGGACTTGAGTGCTGCCTTTCATACAATAGATCATGGGATCCTCCTAAAGCATTTATCACTTTTAGTTGGGATCCGTGGGACGGTTTTAAAGTGATTCAAGTCTTCTCTTGCGAACAGAGTATTCTCGGTGAAGTATGGTGACTTTGTTTCATCTACAGCCTCTATTACCTGTGGGGTTCCTCAGGGTTCTGTTATTGGCCCTGTACTGTTTTCCTTGTACATGCTGCCTCTAGGCTCGATTTTTAATAAATATGGTATGTCTTACCATTTGTATGCCGATGATACACAACTTTATCTCCCTTTGAAACATGGAGAGAATTGTGGTTCAAATTTACTTTTGGCATGTCTGGAAGAGGTGAAGAGCTGGATGGCTCACAATTTGGTTCAGTTAAACCAAAGTAAAACAGATATTATGATTTTTGGCCCCACTAGAGGATGCCCAGACATAGCCACTTATTTATCCTTGGTCGGCCTACTGTCATGACCAAATAAGGAATTTAGGAGTTGTGTTCGATCCAGATTTGAAATTCGACAAGCAGGTTAATGCTGTGGTTAAGAGTTGTATTTCCCAGATTAGGTCTCTTGCTCGATTAAAACCAGTTTTGTCAATGAAAGATTTAGAAAAGGTTATTAAAGGGTTACTCCACCCCAAAATGAAAATTTTGTCATTAATCACTTACCCCCATGTCGTTCCAAACCCGTAAAAGCTTGTTTGTCTTCGGAACACAATTTAAGATATTTTGGATGAAAACCGGGAGGCTTGTGACTGTCCCATTGACTGCCAAGTAAATAACACTGTCAAGGCCCAGAAAAGTATGAAAGACATCATCAAAGTAGTCCATCTGCCATCAATGGTTCAATCTGAATTTCATGAAGCGACGAAAATTATTTTAATTTTCTTTGCGTACAAAAAGTAAGATTTTATTCAACGATTCATCTCCTCCGCGTCACCGTAGCACCATTTTGGAGAGTATCCACTGCGAGTGTGTGTCTGTGTGAGAGTGCGTGAGAGTGCGTGAGAGAGAGAGAGAGAGAGAGAGAGAGTGTGTGAGTGTGCATGTGTGTGAGAGAGAGAGAGAGTGTGTGTGTGTCCGTCTGTGTGTGCGCGTGTGTGCGTGCGAGTGTGTGTGCGTCTGTGTGTGAGTGAGTGCATGTGTGTGAGTGTGTGTGTGTGAGAGAGTGAGTCTGTGTGTGTGCGTGAGTGTGTGTGTGTGTGTGTGAGTGTGTGCGTGAGTGAGTGTGTGTGTACCTTGCCCGTGGGCGGCAGGATCAGCTGGTGTCTGTTGTGCTGGAGGCTCCAGTGCGTCTCGGAGCGCAGCAGGTCGCAGTGAGGATCATGCAGCTGTAAACCCTCCTCGCTGCTTTTGCTGGTGTTGCGTCCGTCCAGAGACACGTATCCATTGTCCGTCTCTGTAGACTTATCGATGGACAGCTTGGACTTTTTAGACCTGATGGGACAGCAAGGAAAAGAGCAGGTTCTACTAAAGGCTGTGTGTTTGATCAAGCGATGTGTGGAAGCGCAGCTCTAGTCCTCTACAGCAAACGCTGATGGGAGCTTGTGAATCAGTAGAAAGTGAACCGGTTTCTGGAGACAGTCACAACTGTGCTTCTGGGGAAAAAACAATTGAAACGGAGCAAATGGAATAAAATGGCTACAAAATCCCTTTATCTAGTGAGGAACCTCAAAGAGAGACTTAAAACTGCACTGCAGCGCGATGATGTGATTTCAGGAAAAGAGATGTTGTAGCCAAGAAGATTGTAAAAGGAGATATGAGAGAGAGAAATACACACCCCTCTTTAAAGATACCATGCCAGAAATCTTTGAAGAAAGCCACGAGACTGCGTGAGCCGGCAGACAGCGAGCCCTGCGGCGCCCCCTCCTGTGTGTTATCAGTAGTGCTAGAGCCGTCGCCTTCTCTATGAATGTCCAAATGAGCCGCTTTCCTCAACTTCCTTTAGCGAGAGACAGCAAAGTGCAGAAAACTTAGAAATCTTAAAACAGAGCGAACTTTGATTCCCAAAGTCAAGAGAAGCGAAAGGCCTGAAAGAGACG